TGCCAATTGACATTTGGGTTATTGGCTGATGGCACTCACATTAATCAAAATTCCATCTCATACAAATTCATGTTTTTGGCATATTGACATGGGGATTATGGGGTGGCTTGATCTATAATTGGGGAAATTGGAAAGTATGCGTGGCTGGGATGCGGTGCAGAAATGATTGACACCTGGTAAGAGCTCATCTTGTCCTTTTTGTGTAAGGAAAAAAAAAAATAGATTTAGAACCACGTGCCATGTTCTACATGGTTATACGTCTGTACGGTTGTAACATTTTTGCTTTTCTGGAATATGACAAAGAAATCCTTTTTTTTCATACTCCATATGCTTAATCCTGGTTAATCTAGTATATTAAACTGTATCCATGAGTACGTGGCTAAGCCTGTGCTTGGCTTGTCTGTACTGACTGGAATGAAATGAAATAATCTCTATTTAAGTAAACTGTATAACATCATCATCTGCTTGGCTCAGGCACTGTACAGTTTGGTTTTTACTGTGTTACTCCTATATTGAGGAGGAGGTGGGGTCGGTGGGAGAGAGTTGTTTAGAATGTTTTGCTTTTCTTTTTTTTTTTTAATGCTTAATAGCAAATTTCCAATATGTGTAAATAACTTTCAATTTTTGTGAACAAAAATATAGAGGGAATACAGGCAGTCCCTGAGTTACATACATGCGACTCCTACTTACAAATGGAGGCTATTACTGTACAGCAGGGGTAGTTGTAATGCTTCCGCGCTCGTGCTGACGAGGAGCGTCTGCCTTTTTGGGGTCTGGTTTGTAGTACTGTACGTACATTACAGGAAGTTGGCTCTTGTTAGACGTGCAGACGAGGGGTGGCCACCTCTTCTTCCTGGTCACTGTGAGGTTTTTACTGCTGTCTGTATCATTAGAAAGATTTAATCTCCCTTCCTGTCCTTGAGACTACAGGAGGTGAAAGAAAAACTACCCCTACGAAGGGAAATTCACTCCTGTAAGAGTTGTCATGGGAAAAAGGTGTCTCCACTGACGCTTCATCACCAATCCTTGTTTCCACGACAACCCAACATTTTCTAAATCCATTTGTCACAGTCACAGAAATTGAGGTGCAATATTCTCTACAGGGACACACACAGCAAAACAAACTTTACAGGAGGTAAAACCCTTCCCTATGCTATCCAAAAAAAAAAAAAAAATTTTGACTGGAGTTACACATTTACCTGTTCCAACTTACATACAAATTCAACTTAAGAACAAACCTACAGTCCCTATCTTGTTCATAACCTGGGCACTGCCTGTATACATTTTAGGTGTTCTGACTATTCAATGCTTTAACACATTTTAAATATTCAAGATTTAACGCTATTCGTAGTAATCGCAAATTGAAATCTGACAATGTATGCCCGTGCAGAATCTCTGTGGTTACATGTGTGATTATATATATATTAGCAGTATATACTACATATAGAGTATATACTGCTAATACAGTGCAGACAATACATTTACAATGATACTAACATGAATGGATTAAATGATCTGTATGTAGCACTGTACTATGAATCATTTAACCCATTCATGTTAGCAGAGGATCATTGTAAATGTATTGTTGCAGGCACTCTATATGTACATGTACATGTACTATATACTACATATAGAATTCACTGAACAATAGATTTACAATCTCCTCTGCTAATATGAATGGGTTAAATGATCCGTAGTACATGATATGTAGCCCTGTACCCCCTTTTCCACTTGCAGAGCTAGGTTATTGTTTTTCTTTTAAATAAATATTAATGTAATTTTATTGGTATCTATCTACCAGTAGCTGCCTCATTTCCCAGCTTTATATTCGGGTCAATACTTTTTCCCAGTTTTTTGTGGTAAAATTAGGTACCTCGGCTTATATTCGGGACGGCTTATATGGGTTGAAAATCTCGGCAATTGTTTTGGAGTGCTTTTCCTGCTCAGAAAACGCTGGGTGTGAATGAGGGCTAACTTCTGCGTTTAGTGTCACTTTAATGCACATTGCTGTGGTAATCTAGTTATTTGGCAGAGCCCTGTGATGATTTCAGAGGTAGGCCCTGTATGTCCAGACCACTCCTTTTTAACCACCAATTAGACTGGAATCAGTATGGCATATGAGGCATATGATCCACCCCCACCAGGGAGAAAATAGTCCTTTTTTTTTTTTTTTATATAGTAGGCGTCTGACTCCAAGCAAGGGCTATGGTGGGTGAACTCCATAAAGAAAAGAGATAGTAAACAGCGGACTCAACTCACCAGGTTCCCCATGACATTGCAATACACCTTTGGTTAAACTGGCCCTTACGTTATCTAAAACGGAAGCTCTGACAGTGTTTGGCCCCGTTAATAACATGACTTTTCCTTTACACTGCTAGTTTGCTTCGAATTCTTTGTGGGATTATTCATTTCTTCACTTTAGTCAGTCTATAGGGAAACGTATAGGGAAACGTTACGCCACCGTAGGAGAAGAGATACATATGGTGAGGCTAATACAGCATATTCAATCACTTCTCTATGGCATTCTCAATCACCTCTCTGCTTCTGTTCTGTGAATCCATAGTTAAGGCATGCACACTGTGTACGGACTGTTGATATATTAAAGTAAACCTAACCGGATGACATTTTAGATTGCTAAAGCCCTGTGTTTCATAAACAGCATCCAATTTATTTTTCTATACAATACTTTTTTACCTTTTTTCCAATCTCAGTGCTGCTGTTCTCATTCAGCCACACCTGTCTACAAAAATGAACACCAAGCTTTGGGTACATATCATTGTTCTTACCAGTTCCTGATTGTGACAATGGTGGACATGCCTGCACAATGTGTGTTTCATCACAGCCTCTTGTTGTCTCCATCAGGGGCACATGTAACAGGGTGACAAGGCAGGAGTAAAATTAGAAAACAGTTGTCACCCCATAACAGGAAGTGCCTGAAAAAAGACCCGAATGGCAGGATCACTAGGTACTCATTTTAAAGAAAGCAGCAGATTCAGATCAATTAAAATATCTTTTGAAATTCCAGTAATATTTTCAAGCTGAACTACAGGTATAAATTATGTTTACTTGGCCCAATGTAAGTATTTATGTGACATTCCTGATCAGCCACCTGGGATCCTGTAATGTGCTGCAGTAAGCGGAGCTACTACAGTGCTAACATCAATCTTCAGGTCCTGTGTTTTTTAAACTGGACCCCACAGTGACTCGTGTACACACACATGCTCCAATCACATACAGACACACAAAGGTTGAACTTGATGGACCTGTGTCTTTATTCAACCTCAAATACTATGGAACTATGCTTTGCTGAGCAGCTCGCCCTCTGCTCTAAAAACACAGGGGGTTGCTCACTCGGCACAGCTGCTAGTTGGGACTTCACTGTCCCTTGTCCAAGCAGAGAACCCCTTGTATGCACTGATAAAAAAAAAATACTAGGTGTTCTCTGAATGGCAGCAGTGCAGAGCAAGTGCCCTCCTGTGTTTACAGAGTAGAGGGAAAGTTGTTGAGCAGGACCCGGAGGATTGCTGTCAGCACTGTAGTAGCTCCAGGTATTACGGTGTTTCACAAGTTCGCCATGAGCTGATCCCTTATGGAATATGCATACTTAGTGGGCCAAGCTGGACCAATGTAAGTAGGCATAATAATTGAAATCTGGAGTTCAGCTTTAAAGTCTATATGAGATTGTAGTTATTGAATTTAGATCTACTTAGTTCTTCTTCACAGCAGAGAGATAAACTGTAGAGCAAGTTTGCTTTAATCTGACAAACCGGTATAATGGAAGCAGGCTAGGTATGTCACCCTGCACAAACATAACAGTCCTTTTGGTTCTTTAGTGCTCTGGGTGTTGTCAAATCAACCAAATTCTTTTGAGCCTGTACACCAGAGTACAGAGTATCCATTCATGGCTCATGACATCTGCTCTGTAGTGCACTGCTGCTGTGGCTTCAGACCATAGGAACTGGAAACGGAGCACCATTGATGGGTGAAATATGGTGCATCTGGTCTTCAAATGGCCTCATGTTCTTTTGACAAGTATGCATGCTGAAGAGTCATTGCTCTTAATGGCTCCTGCTTGATGGCTGCCCATACCAAAAAAACATTTAGGGCTGAAGGAATGCTTTCACTTCTGTCAAATGCAATCTGCTCCAGGCACACACAGGATATGTGTTACTTACACTGTCTTATGCATCTTTATCCAGCCATGAATTCCAATTTAGTGAAGCTATGTGCACAATTTGTTTTGAGTGCGTCAGAGGTGCTTGGACATTCCGCACCCCTCATGGGACATTCCGCACCCCTCATGGGACATTCCGCACCCCTCCTGAAACTACCTCTGTGGATGATTCCATTAAAATGAAAATAAAAACAGAAATGGTTTAATGTTTTATATATTGGGGGGAGAAAAAAGTATCAAAATCATGTTTTTTTCTCCGGGGGGGGGGGGGGGCCCTTTATGGTTTTCTTGCACCGGGGCCCTGAGGGTTCTAGTTACGCCTCTGGGTACTATGTCAGTTTTGTGGCAGTGTTTTGGGGGCATTTAGTAACCGTTGTTAGGCATTTGGCAATACTTATTGCCAATCTGTATTTGCAGCCACTGTTCCTCTGTGATTTTGCAGTTTGTCCATATTCAACACATGTTACCATTGTCATTGACCCGGATCTCCTTTTGTATGTTGAATCCTAAGCCTGGTATACAGGTTTAGAATGTTGTAAGAAATTTTTTTGGGGGAAACGTTCATTCGAGTTTCTAATAGCCAAAGGGGTTAAATCGAAAGAGCAGGATGGAAAATTTTTCTCAAACGAATTTGTAACCTTGAATGTGGATTTCGTTTGGGAAACCACTTTTTTAACTGAATGTTAAAATCATACGGAATTTTGAATGTTATTTGTCAAGTCTCTGATGGCCTTATCGAATGTTCTGATGAGATTTTTCATATGAAAATGTACATATTTTTTGTCACTACAGGAGCTAATTATTTTTTGTCTCGTTTCCATTTCAGATGGCGTACCTCAGGTTTATTACTTTGGTCCATGCGGTAAATACAATGCCATGGTGCTAGAATTGCTGGGGCCAAGTTTGGAAGACTTATTCGACTTGTGTGACAGAACATTTTCCTTAAAAACTGTACTCATGATAGCCATACAACTGGTAAGTAGATGTGAATTTCTGAACTTGGCTCATTTTATCATTGTGCTGCTTCTGTGGGGGCAGCATGGTTTACACATTGCTAAACTGTGATGGAGAAAGGTAACAGTCACTGACCAGACTGTGGTGTCTGGCAGGTGTGTTGGAATCACAAGACAGTTTAAACATAACCGAATCCTTTGGCACTTCCTGAGTATTCCACTGTGTATTGGGTTTGTAGCTCAGAGAACAGTGGGAAGTTGTTTGGCATGATACATATCAAAAAATAAAAAATCAGTATATGTTTAATTTTCAGTTCACCATTTTAAATCTAATTACATACACTATACTGTCAAAAGTATTGGGAAGTCTGCCTTTACAAGCACATGAACTTCATTGGCATCCCAGTCTTGGTCCGTAGGGTTCAATATTGAGTTGGCCCACCCTTTGCAGCTATAACAGCTTTAACTCTTCTGGGAAGTCTGTCCAAGGTTTAGAAGTGTGTCCATGGGAATAATTGACCATTCTTCCAGAAGCACATTTGTGAGGTCAGGTACAGATGTTGAACGAGAAGGCCTGGCTCGCAGTCTCCACTCCAATTCATCCCAAAGGTGTTCCATCGGGTTGAGGTCGGGACTCTGTGCAGGCCAGTCAAGTTCCTTCACCCCTAACTTGCTCATTCATGTCTTTTATGGACCTTGCTTTGTGCACTGGTGCACAGTCATGTTGGAACAGGAAGGGGCCATCCCCAAACTGTTCCCACAAAGTTGGAAGCATGAAATTGTCCAAAATGTCTTGGTGTGCTGATGCCTTAAGAGTTCCCTTCACTGGAATTAAGGGGCCAAGCCCAACCCCTGAAAAACAACCCCACACCATAATCCCCCCCTCCACCAAACTTTACACTTGGCACAATGCAGTCAGGCAAGTACCATTCTCCTGGCAACCGCCAAACCCACACACGTTCATCGGATTGCCAGACAGAGAAGCGTGATTAGTCACTTCAGAGAACACGTCTCCACTTCTCGAGTCCGGTGGCGGCGTGCTTTACACCACTACATCCCACGCTTTGCATTGCACTTGGTGATGTAAGGTTTGGATGCAGCTGCTCGGCCATGGAAACCCATCCCATTAAGCTCTCTACGCACTGTTGTTGTGCCAATCTGAAGGCCACATGAAGTTTGCAGGTCTGTAGCTATTGACTCTGCATACTGTTGGCAACTTCTGCACACTGCCCTTCAGCATGCGATGACCCCGCTCTGTCATTTTACGTGGCCTACCACTTCATGGCTGAGTTGCTGTTGTTCCCAGTTGCTTCCACTTTGTTATAATACCACTAACAGGTGGCTGTGGAATATTTAGTTGCAAGGAAATTTCACGGATGGACTTATTGCACAGGTGGCAACCTATCACGGTACCAGACTTGAATCCACTGAGCTCATGAGAGCAACCCATTCTTTCACAGATGTTTGTAGAAGCGTCTGCATGCCTAGTTGCTTGATTTTATACACCTGTGGCCATGGAGGTGATTGGAACACCTGAATCCAATGATTTGGAGGGGTGTCCCAATAGTTTTGGCAATATAGTGTATTTCTTATTGTACAATATTGTAAAGATGATAATGTCCTTTCTATCAAATAATACCTATGCAGTTAATAAATGTAATTTATATTTTAAAGTGTATTTCCACTTTCGCAGCCGAATCGGGTTAACACATTTTGTATTTGTTACATGTTCCCATTCACATAGCATAAGATGAAAATAATTAGAAATGCTTCTTTGAGTTTAAATAGCTTTTACTTGGTTAGGGTTTTAAGGGTTAAAATTTCGTCTCGCTTCTATTTCTTTGAAATGTTAGGAGGGGCTGTGATGGGTGAGGGGTCTCGTCCATTCAGAGGTGGCTTGTGCATTGTATGTTAATGAAGCTTATCAGATAAACACAATCCTCACATTTCAGTCCCAAGACTTTCCATTGGGATAGACCACTGTGATGGGGCTGAGAAAAACCTGGAATCAGCCATCTTGTCTGATTTAACAAAACCTCTAAAAGGTAAGATTTTTTTTTTTAAAGTTATTTTTTTAGTATGCTGTGTGAATAGGAACACACAGCAAACATATCAAAGGGTTTTCCTACATTTGACTGCAAAAGTGGAAATACACTTTAAGTAATATTCCATTTTTATTTCACATACCCTCTTTTTTTTTTATATATATATATTTTTCTCCATATTTACATGCCCATGCTGACTAGTACAGGGGAAAAGCTATCACTCTGCCAGGGACTCCTGCCATGTAAATAAAAGGTAATTGTTATGAGAGCTCATGGCAGTTTTAGAGCTTCCCCCAGCTCCTTTCACTTTTCCCAGTCAGCTTGGTCTACCTGTAAAAATGAAGAAAAACACACTTCATACAGGCCTGGGTTAGATCACTCGGAGATCTAGTAGCCACCTGACAAAAGTTAGGAGCCTGCAAACTACAGCCTGTTGACTTGGCGATCAACATCAGGGCTACCCCTGCACTGCAATGGATAAGTGCCTATTTTCGACTAGGGTGTAAAATAAAGATATACTTGCCCGAAACGTGGAACCGGCTAGCTGTTAGACAGGTTCCTGCAGGCTCTCCTCTGCTTCAGTGATGGAATGTCCCTTGGCTTCCTCATGCCCAATACACTGTATTGGACATAATGACTCACAGGACCTTAGACCGATGGAGCGAGGCTGCAGAGACCTTTCCAACAGCTGGCTCCAAGATTCGGCCAAATATATCTTTTTCTTTCTTTTCCACCCTAGACGAAAATGAGGTCTTAACCCTTGAAGTGAGGGGGAAGTCCCACTGCAAGATGACTTCTTCCCGGCGTTCTTCTTTAATATCAGAACTAAGACCTCATATAATGCAAATACACAACAATATACAGAGATTCTTGGGGATATGGGGCACAAAGTGCACACCATACAATTCTGCCAGATCTACAATTCTACTTTTTTTTCTAGCTTTTGAAGCTTCATGTGTCAGCAGCTTACCCATGACCACCAGCCCAGCAAGATTTTAATATTTGTCTAGGAAGAGATGGACACATGGAAGTGTATAGTAAAAGTGGGCAAAGGAATGTTTTTAAATATTATTGCATTGGGCACCATTTTCTTTTCCTTCGGTAACTCATCAGTCCTAATGTTAATGTTCTTTAAAACATGTTCACAATTTACTTTCTAAATACTGAAACTGTGAAAGGTTTATTCTGCTAAGATGTCATTGTTAACATACATTTTTTTTCCCCCTCTACTCTTCCATGTTTACACAGATTTCCCGCATGGAATACGTTCATTCAAAGAACTTGATATATAGAGACGTAAAGCCTGAAAATTTCTTGATAGGTCGTCCAGGAAACAAGAACCAGCAAATAATTCACATTATAGATTTTGGCTTGGCCAAAGAATACATAGACCCAGAAACAAAGAAGCACATACCTTACAGAGAACACAAGAGCCTTACAGGAACAGCTAGATACATGAGCATTAATACACATTTAGGAAAAGGTTTGTATGACCACAAATGACTGAAGTGCCATGATATCGCTGTTGCATAATATCATTATTATGAAGTCATAGAATGCTGAACTTTTTCCTTCACATTTTCTAATGCATGTTCTGCATCTTCAAAATGTTTGGTTTGTTATCTTAATTGTTAAGGCTAGGTTCACACCAGATGCAGTGCGTTCCGGCCTGATTCTGGCCAGAATGCACTGCATTGCGGACGGCTCACTTTTTTGCGGGGCAAGAGGGGGCGTGACAGGCCATTGAAGTGAATGGCACCGTAGCCACGCCCTCCGGCCGCAGTGCGATCAGCCGCGATGGATCGCAAGGCACATTGTGCCTGTGGTCCGGTGCGATCAAAATGCTGCAAGCGCTATTTTGATCGCACCGGACCACGGGCACAATGTGCCTTGTGATCCTGTGTGGACGATAGCATTGCGGCCAGAGGGCGTGGCTACGGTGCCATTCACTTCAATGGCCCGTCACGCCCCCTCTTGCCCCGCAAAAAAGTGAGCCGGCTGCAATGCGATGCAGTGCGTTCGGGCCGGAACTCACTGCATCTGGTGTGAACCTAGCCTAATTGCTTAACCACTTGAAGACCGGGGTGTTAAACCCCCTTTCCTGTCCAGGCCATATTTCAGTATTCAGCTCTGCAGTTCTTTGACATTTATTCAGTCATGCAACACCATACTGAAATTAATTTTGTCATTTTTGGGGGGGGAAAGAGAGCGCTTTGTATTGGTGGTATTTAATCACCTCTGGGTTTTTTTCTCCCCTTTTTACTATTTAAAGAATATATTAAAAAAGTACTTAAATTTAAAAAAAAAAAAGTTTGCCCTATGTTTATTCTATGAAATATTTATTTTTACCCAATTTTTTTTTTTTTAATATAAAAGATGGGGTCACATCGGGTAAATAGATGCCAAACATGTTGAGGCTTAATATTGTGTGTGCCTGTGAAATCGCAAAAAACTACCATACCCAAAAATGGCCATATGCAACACTTTTACCGCTGATCAATTTAGTGTTACCAGTGATTAATGGCACTAGAATTTTTGCTTGCACTCTTGACATGTGTGATGCAATCATTCTGGAATCTGGCTACAGCAAGACAGGCTGAAAGCGGAAGGGATGTAATGCACATCACTTCCGCATTCAGAGGCAGGAGGGGAGTTCAGCATGTAAAAGTGTGCTGATCTCCTTCTGATCCAGTCAGAGATCCGCCGTGCCAATCCCGGGCCTTATGAAGGACCGTGGAGCCCAGGATAGCTAGACGGGGTGGGCACACTCCCTCACACCATACAAACAATCAGGCAGCTCTATGGCCGAGTGAACGCTTGTATGCAACCTTTTTGGCTGTGAACAATGTGTGCAATTTCTGGCAGGGGTCCGCACACGAGTGGGCGGAGGTAAAAGCCTGTTTACAAACGCTCACCACCTTCAAGAATGTACCATCTTGCCTTCTTTTACAATCGGCCAGACGGCAACTGGTTAAAGTGATGCATTTGCTAGGAGAAAATCAAAGCAGCCTGTAAAGAAAATATGAATACTTGCCTGTCCTATGGGTGCCGACTCCATCCTTTGCTTTCTTGAAGAGCTATAGCTGCTACTGGTATCTGTCAATTCCGCGTCTATTGGGTACCATGGTGCACACTGTTTTCTGTTGTGTCCAATGGGAAACATGGCATCTGACATGCCCAGAAGTGGCCTTGGCTCTACAAGAAAGCGACAATGATAAAATCCAAAAACAAAAGCTTAATATGTTGCAACTCATCAGTCTTTAGATGCGGGGGCTGCATTCATTTTCCTTTTTTGTTTTTCTGGTGATCCTGTCTGCAACAGGCTGACCTAGGGTGACAACCCTCATTTACTGTACTGTATCTATGGAGAAGCAGTGTTTTAACCATTTATCAAACAGATCTAAGAAGATATGTTCAATGGTATATTTACAGACCAAAAGGAAGCAAATAAAATAAATTCACTTGATATTTTCATATACCTTATTTCTTTTTTTTCTTCTCCCCCTAGCAACAGGGTCACTTAAAACAGGCCAGCCCTGTAAAATGAGCCAATATATACTTACCTTTCTGGCAGCCCATGTTTTGCTCCCCAGCAGCTGCAGATGTCTCTTTCCTGGTTGGCCAGATCCATCTATGAGCTTGCACTTCTTCTTTTAGAGAGGTATATGCTGGTGGTAGTAGTAGTAACCATTGCGTGTGGACAGAGGAGCAGGTATGCACATATTGAAATGTGTAGCAACTGTTGAGCAGTGAAGTGGCAGTGTATGAAGACACTGGCCACCAGGAAGGCAGATATAGATTCACTTTTGTTTTGCAGGGCTAGCTTTTAACTAACCCTGTGGTGACACGAAGTGAAAGAAAAATAATGCATTGAAAGGCAGTGTATTCTGTTATAAATGTTTAATATTTTGTGTTCATCTGTGATTCATGCAGAGCTCTTTTACTATAGCAATGTCATGTTAGGCAATGAGGTTTACCTCCAACTTCCTTTTGCTAAAGTGTTCTTCATCCATGTTTAACAGCGATCAAGAAGTACTTTACTCTTGCTAGTGTGTTTGAACAGAAGTAGGGATTGTAGTGCTTCCCATTTAAGAAAGTCCACAAAGATGGACTTGGCTCTTATTAAATACACTCTTGGAGATCTGTAAACATGTAAACAAGATGTGTTCCTTATTTCTTTTTCTTATTTATGTGCTTTACTGGCACAGAATTCTAACATTCTGATAATGCTTTAGCCTGTGAGCGTAAATACACTGCTGCATGAAATGATGCTTTATCCTTTGTTGCTGTACGTGACCCTGTTATTGAGATTTCATCTCAATTGCCCAGTGACAGTACTGTCACTAGGACATTAAGTAAGGAGAAATCACCTATAGAGACACAGACAACAATAAAATGGTGACACAGGTTTTAGGCTTGGCTCCACATTACGGAGTTTGTCAGTGGGCAAGAAAGTGAAAATCTGATTCATGAGTGAAGGCAATAAAGACAGAGTACATTTGTTTTGTGCGCTTGCACTTTTTGTGTCACTGCCCTATTGCACTCCCCTATTTTTTTTTCACTATACACTCCGTGTGGTTGTAAGGCAGAGGTGGTGAAATATATGTAGTAATTAAAAATTAATTTAAAAAAATCAGACATAGCTCTTGACTAAACAGAATATTTGCTTCTGGTGTTTTTAACTCTTTCCTGGTTGGCCAGTTCCACCTATGAGCTTGTACTTTTTAGTGACACACTATATTGCCAAAAGTATTGGGACACCCCTCCAAATCATTGGATTACGGTGTTCCAATCACCTCCATGGCCAGAGGTGTATAAAATCAAGCACCTAGGCATGCAGACTGCTTCTACAAACATTTGTGAAAGAATGGGTCGCTCTCAGGAGCTCAGTGAATACAAGCGTGGTACGGTGATAGGTTGCCACCTGTGCAGTAAGTCCATCTGTGATTTTTTTCCTTGCTACTAAATATTCCACAGCCACCTGTTAGTGTTATTATAACAAAGTGGAAACAACCGGGAACAGCAGCAACTCAGCCACAAAGTGGTAGGCCACGTAAAATGACAGAGCGGGGTCAGTGCATGCTGAAGCGCACAGTGCGCAGAAGTCGCCAACTTCGTGTGGCCTTCAGAGTGGCACAACAACAGTGCGTAGAGAGCTTCATGGAATGGGTTTCCATGGCCGAGCAGCTGCATCTAAGCCTTACATCAACAAGTGCAATGCAAAGCCTTGGATGCAGTGGTGTAAAGCACGCCGCCACTGGACTCTAGAGAAGTGGAGACGTGTTCTCTGGAGTGAAGAAACAGGAGATAGAAATGTTTAAATTTGAAAGAACATTGAAATTAAAGCAACACTTCTCCCTGCAACCAGCTAAAATACAGGATAGTCGCCCCTTCCGACTGAAAATAAATTTCGTCCCTGGTGGCCAGTTCCAGTCGATTTGAAACATTTATACGCACTGTAAAGCATGATGTGCTACAGGCGAACCAAAAAATGAAACCCCGTTAAATCTGACCAGAGAAGATCGTACTGCACTATTAGCTTTGCAGAAAGACACTACCATCATTATCAAACGAGCAGATAAATGGGGTGCCATTGTCATTATGGATTATAGTGAGTACAGACGAGGTATGCTGCTACTACTATGGGATACATCCAGCTACCAACCTGTCCCATATGAAGGTCTACATGCAATCCAGACGGGATTGACGGCCATTATTGATCTGGGCATAGCGAATTCGTGGATCAGTGAAACAGTAGCAGAATTTCTAAACCATGAGCACGCACGGACACCAGTCCTCTATGGATTGCCCAAAATACAGAAAGGGATCAATCCATTGGCTTTTCGCTCGATTATGTCGGGCACCGATTCAAGTACCCAACCAATGGCAGAATTAGTTGATTTTTATTTACAGTTGGTACGCAGGCTCCCTGCGTTTATCAAAGATACCAATGATTTTTTTACAAAACTCCGCAGATTTCCTGTGGTGGAGGAATGCTGGAAGTTGGGTACCATGGATATATCATCTCTATATACATGCATCCCCAACAGTGCAGGCCTTAAGGCTTTGGAACATTTCTTGTGCAGTATAGGTGAACATGACATTTTTAATGTGCTGCCTTGAATTCATTCTTGAGAATAACATCTTTACTTTTGAAGATCAGGCCTACAAGCAGATTAGGGGGACTGCAATGGGTTGTTCAGCAGCCCCATCATTTACCAATCTGTGGGGTACCTTGAATGTCACGTTTATACCTCTGCACTGTTTATGAAGCATGTAAAACTGTTGGTTAGATTAATTGATGACATCTTTGTCATCTGGGATGGCAGATGTTCAGTGAATTTGTAGCATATCTTAATGGTTTATTTCCAGGTATTGTCTTTAACCCAAGCATATCTGGTATAGAGATTGCAAGTTTTTGACATCTTTATACTCTAAACCCACAGATGGGAATACAATCCTACACTACAATAGTGCCCACCC